TTATGTAATGTCCCTCTTTGTCTCTTATGATCTTTGTTGCTTTAAAATCTAATTTATCAGAGATGAGAATGGCAACTGCTGCTTTTTTTTTTGCTCTCCATTTGCTTGGTAAATCTTCTTCCATCCCTTTATTTTGAGCCTTTGTGTATCCTTGCATGTGAGATGGGTTTCCTGGATACACCACCCTGATGGGTTTTGTCTTTTTATCCAATTTTCCAGTCTGTGTCTTCTGGTTGGGGCATTTAGACCATTTACATTTAGGGTTAATATTGTTATGTGTGAATTTGATACTGCCATTTTAGTGCTAGCTGGGTGTTTTGCCCTTTAGTTGAGCTGGTACTTGTTGTTCCTTTATATGTATAGAGCCTCTTTCAGGAGCTCTTCCAGAGGTGGCATGGTGGTTACAAAATCTCTGAGTACTTGCATGTTCCCAAAGGACTTTATTTTTCCTTCACTTATGAAGCTTAGTTTGGCTGGATAGGAGATTCTGGTTTGAAAGTTCTTTTGTTTAAGGATGTTGAATATTGGCCCCCACTCTCTTCTGGCTTGTAGGGTTTCTGCTGAGAGATCTGCTGTGAGTCTGATGGGCTTCCCTTTATGGGTAACCCGACCTTTCTCTCTGGCTGCCCTTAGTATTTTCTCCTTCATTTCAACCCTGGTGAATCTGACGATTATGTGCCTTGGGGTTGCCCTTCTTGAGGAATATCTTTGTGGTGTTCTCTGTATTTCCTGGACTTGAATGTTTGCCTGCCTTGCTAGGTTGGGGAAGTTTTCCTGGATAATATCCTGAAGAGTATTTTCCAGCTTGGATTCATTCTCTTCGTCGCATTCAGCTATGCCTATCAAACGTAGATTAGGTCTTTTCACATAGTCCCACATTTCTTGGAGACTTTGTTCATTCCTTTTTACCATTTTTTCTCCAGTCTTGCCTTTCCGTTTTATTTCATTGAGTTGATCTTCGACCTCTGTTATCCTTTCTTCTGCTTGGTCAATTCGGCTATTGATACTTGTGCATGCTTCGCGAAGTTCTCGTGTTGCGTTTTTCAGCTCCATCAATTCACTTATATTCCTCTCTATATTGTGCATTCCCATTAGCATTTCGTCAAATCTTTTTTCAAGGTTCTTAGTTTCTTTGCATTTGGTTAGAACATGTTCTTTAAGTTCACAGAAGTTTCTTACTACCCACCTTCTGAAGTCTGATTCTGTAATTTCATTACACTCGTTCTCCCTCCAACCTTGTTCCCTTGCTGGTGAGGAGTTGTGATCCCTTGTAGGAGGAGAGATGTTCTGGTTTCGGGCGTTTTCATCCTTTTTGTGCTGGTTTCTTCCCATCTTTAACGATTTATCCACCTGTCGACTTTGTAGTTGCTGGCTTTCAGATTGGGTCTCAAATCTTTCAGATTGACGTTCTGTTTGTTGATGATGAGGTTATTTCTGTTTCTTGGTTTTCCTTCTGACAGTCTGGCCCCTCTGCTGTATGTCTGCTGAGGTTCACTCCAGGCCCTGATTGCCTGGGGTTCACCTGCAGCAGCTGCTGAACAGTAAGGGTTGTTACCAGTTTTCTTCTTCTGCTATCTTTGTCCCAGAAGGATACCCGCCTAGTGTCAATCTGATCTCTCCTTTATGAGGTGTCTCTTTGGATATATAGGGGTCAGGGAGCTGCTGGAGGAGACGGTCTCTTTATAGGAGCTCAAATGATGAGCTGTGAGCTCTGTTGTTGTTCATTCAGAGCTGCCAGGCAAGTATGTTTAGGTCTGCTGCAGCAGAACTCATAAACCGCTTTTTGTTCCCAGGTGCTCTGTCCCAGGGATTTAGGGCTTTATTTATGAGTTTCCGTTATGCTGCTACCTTCTTTTTTTTTTCCTTCAGACCTGCCCTGCCCAGCAAGGAGGCAGCATAGTCACTGTTGGCCTATAGAGGCTTTGCTGAGCTGCTGTTGGCTCCGCCCCGCTGCCAAGTGAACTTCCCTGCAGTCCTGTTTATATGGGTGTAGAACTGCTTTGTTGATGGTGGCCCGCCTCTGTTGGGGCAGAGTCTCTGCTGTGGCGGGTTGCCTTGGCAACGGTGGGTTGCCTCAGCAATGGCGGGTTGCCTTGGCAACAGCGGGCTGCCTCAGTAATGGCGGATGCCCCTCCCCCATAGAGCTGGAGCGTCCTGGGTTCAGCTGCGCTTGCTGTGAAAGTTGCAATCCAGAGTTTCTGGTTGCTGTTCTTTTGTGGGGGTGGGACCAGTCGAGCCTGATCGCCTGGCTCCCTGCCTCAGCTCCTTTTTTAAGTTTGTGTTTCAGTCACCTGTTGAAGAGGTGCCAGGGTCTGTTTGTTTTCCCCTGTGGCCACTCACTGCGCTGGCTTAAACAGTGGCACTGAGGTTTGTGGAGCTTTTCTTCTTTTTCTTTTTTTGCCCTGGAATCTACTGTCCTGGTTCTCTGCTCAGTCCCCTTTTTAAACAGATGAATGGGCGACTTTCCTTGGCTCCAATCGGCAGCCAAAACAGCACCCAGACAGGTGTATTTTGTATGGGGAACCAGAGAACTGCTGCTCCAGGGCGCCGACAAAGCAGCCGCGCGGGGCAAATCAGCGGCGCTGGCTGGCACAGCCGCACTGGCCGAAACAGCCGCGCTGGCGACCGTGGAGCTCCTCTGCCTGGGAATTTCCTGGTCTGTGGGCAATAAAAATGCGGCGTCCACTCACCCTCTGCGCTTTCACTGGGAGCTGCAATCCTGAGCTGTTCCTAAATGGCCATCTGCCTATAGTAATTCAATTTCTATAACTTTCAGCTCAGTGGATTTTGAATAACTAACAGAAAGTTTGTTGCTTAGCTCACATTGAAATGCCTTTTTTATTGCTTCTAAGACATCTACATATTGCTATATTGAAGGAACTTGCTAGTCGCAAATAGATTTTCATTTGTCTTTTGCCCAAATAAGGGTCATAAAATTAAATTGGGTCAGAATTTAACAATGTGACAATGTGAGAGGACAGATATGTTAATGAGCTTGATTATAATTATTTCAAAATGTATATGTATATCAAAAGATTACGTTGTACACTGTAAAATACGTTATTTTATTTGTGAATTATACCTCAAAAAACTGGAAAATAAAAAAGAAAGACAACTACGTTCATTCAATACCAAATTTAAAGGTAAAGCAGACTTAAGAACTATTTGTGCTCTATTTTTAGCATGCTAGCTTTACATTTTTAGGATAGCATAATTATCAAAATGTAACAATTTTTTTCTCAGTTTTTGTTTTCAAAGTTTGATCCAGTCTTTACTATGTGTATGAAAAATAATAAAATGCATTTTTCTCTTTTATCTCCAAAATGCTAGTAAAAATAGTTCCATGAAAATTAAATGACTACATACATTAATCACCTCACATAGCTTTTGGCAAAGCAATTTCCAAATAAATGCAGGCTAGTACTAAATGGACACCTCTTAATGTATCTGGCCCTAAATTCTTGCTATAGATGTCAAATCAACATTTATATGCAGTTTCTCTTTGGCTTATGGGTTCCTTAGGTTCAATAGCATAAAGCAACAACATTAATTCAACAGAAATTTCAGACATGGAATGGCTGTGCTTCAAAACTTAACTAAAGTAGTTAAATCTCAGAAAGAATGAACAAGTGAAATGTATTGTTCTCCTAATTGCTGGTCTTATATTAAAGTCAGTGATGGGACTTCCAGATCGTGTATAGAAACATACTTCAATTTGTGATTTTCCCCATTCTCTGAATTGATTATTAGTATTTCTTCCTTTGATTTCCCACCACTTGCTATTTTCAAGACATTTTGTTTTCCCAAATAAATAAGACTCTCTGGTGGCACCTTGAAGATAATTCAAGGAAGAAACAGAGCTAAACAAGTTAGCAATTATGATTAGGTTAAATCAGTGTTACATATTGATAAATTTGTGCTCAGTTCACACAGATTTTCTTTAAGTGATATTTGCCTTTAAAGCTGGGAGCATTCTCTTTGAAAACTGGCACAGGACAAGGATGCCCTCTCTCACCACTCCTATTTCAACATAGTATTGGAAGTTCTGGCCAGGGCAATCAGGCAAGAGAAGGAAATAAAGGGTATTCAGCTATGAAGAAACGAAGTCAAATTGTCTCTGTTTGCAGATGACATGATTGCATATTTAGAAAACCCCATGGTCTCAGCCCAAAATATTCTTAAGCTAATAATCAACTTTAGCAAGGCCTCAGGATACAAAATTAATGTGCAAAAATCACAAGCATTTCTATACACCAATAATAGACAGAGAGCCAAATAATGAGTGAACTTCCATTCACAGTTGCTACAAAGAGAATTAGCTACCTAGGAATAAACTTACAAGGGATGTGAAGGACCTCTTCAAGGAGAACTACAAACCACTGCTCAAGGAAATAAGAGAGGACACAAACAAATGGAAAAACATCCCATGCTCATGGATGGAAAGAATCAATATCATGAATATGGCCATACTGCCCAAAGTAATTTATAGATTAAATTCTATCTCCATCAAGCTACTGTTGACTTTTTTCACAGAATTAGAAAAAACTACTTTAAATTGCATATGGAACCAAAAAGGAGCCCATATAGCCAAGATAATCCTAAGCAAAAGAACAAAGCTGGAAGCATCATGCTACCTGACTTCAGACTATACTTCAAGGCTACAGTAACACAACCAAACAGCATGGTACTGGTACCAAAACAGATATATAGGCCAATGGAACAGGACAGAGGCCTCAGAAATAATGCCACACATGTACAACTACCTAATCTTTGACAAACCTGACAAAAGCAAGAAATGAGGAAAGGATTCCCTATTTAATAAATGGTGTTGGGAAAACTGGCTAGCCATAAACAGAAAACTGAAACTGGACCGCTTTCTTACATCTTATACAAAAATTAACTCAAGATGCATTAAAGATTTAAATGTAAGACCTAAAACCATAAAAATCCTAGAAGAAAACCTAGGCAATACCATTCAGGACATAGGCATCAGAAAAGACTTCATGACTAAAACACAGAAAACAATGGCAACAGAAGCCAAAATTGGCAAATAGAATCTAATTAAACTAAAGAGTGTCTGCACAACAAAAGTAACTACCATCAGAGTGCACAGGCAAACTACAAAATGGGAGAAAATGTTTGCAATCTATCCATCTGACAAGGGCTCGTATCCAGAATCTACAAAGAATGTAAACAAATCTACAAGAAAAAACAGCCCCCTCAAAAAGTGGGTGAGAGATATGAACAGACACTTCTCAAAAGAAGCGAGTTCATAATGCCTGTATGTATCATGTCATAGTTAGGATAGGAGTTGTGAGGGATTGTAGGAAGCTTTGGGATTCCTTTTGAAATGCAGCAAGGTCTGCAATACCCTTCTTACCCCAGTCATTTAAAAGTTGCAAAGGACTAGGTTAAAACAAGAAATGGCAGGCAATGGAAGACTGATCTTAGGTTTTTATAAGAGAAAGCATTGACATTAGTGTAATTATTTTAAGGCTCATCTTGATGAGATATCAGCAGTACATTTAAGTCTCTTTTATGCATCAGACTTCTTGTTGTAAAAGGGATTATGATGACATAAGCAAAGACTGCGGATCATACCTCATTCAGAGGTGCTTTAGAAGGAAGACCAAGGTTAGATGATTTGTTATAAATTTTTGCTTGATCTGGGATTGTAACGTACATCCCTTTATGAAAATAACTACTTACTTACCTAAAAATGTGTTGTAAGCTCTCACTGTTACTTCAAATTCCCAATTATGTAAATGGGACAAAGGTATAATTCAAAATGCAAGGAACTACACTCCCATTTTCTGAACCAATTGTGAAAAGATTATTTCCTCCACCTAGTGTGTTCCAGCTTGCATTTCTGTCGTTGCCAGCCTGTCCTTCTTCCCCAGGCCTCTCCATTAGGTCACAGAGAACATATGTTATGTATGGTGTGGTAAATCATGTGGTGGTAAGATACGACTCCCCTAAACCTGTTGCTTACAACAACGAAGACTTGTGTTTTGCTCATAACAGAGAACACAGTCCGCTGTGACTCAGCTGTGGCCCTGCTGCATGTCTTCTTCATTTTGGGACAAAGCCTTTCTCATCAGCCTGTTCCTAGAATATCACCAGTCATATCATTGTGGAATAGGAAGAAGATGGAAAAAATGCATATATGACTCACACATATATGATTAGACACACACAGATACACAAACTTGTATGGGCATGTGTGTATGTGTAGTGCAGATAATAAAGAGCCATATTAAGAATGTAACAAAATTATAGTTTCAGTTTGTATAAAGAAGAAAATAGAGACTAAATATGTCTCAAATCAGTGATGTGCTGGAGCCAGCTTGCAATGGCTTACAAGAGCTGATTATTCACATCTCTTCCCAACTTCATAGTTATCCAGTGACTACATTGGTGGCTTGAAATCAGCCAGGGCGAGAGCACTTAGACTGTAACACTACAAATCAGGGCTAGTTGAGGCCACTTTCACTCTAGCACACCACTGCTTACAGATAGCAAAAGTACAGCTAAATGATAGTCCTCAAAGTAGAGTAGAGGGGTTAGAAGTTCACTTAAAGCCATGAATGTATTAGAATCTGAAGACTGTCATGACTGATCCACAGGCAGAAATCATTAGGCTGTTTGTCACTTTAGCTTGCACAGGTTGCAATGAGACAGGAGCAGAAAACGGTGGTCTTTCAGGACAAAAGTCTAGCTGCACCAACTGATTAGCTACAGACACAAATCAAAGAACTAAATTTGCTTTTCTAGCTCCCTGAATACAATGTTTACACAAGGAACCTCAATGGACTCATATATTTTAAAATGTTTATTCTTGATATATGGGGTTCTTTCTACACACCACCTGCTTAAATCCTGCAATGAAGTTAATGACCCTTTTAAATTCAGGATAAAGCAGAGACCTGATACAAACTCACTTATGGTACATTTGTTTTTGCAATGTTTTATTTTTTAAAAATGCCAAGACTATTTGCCTGAGAATGTATTTCTTACGTTAAGCCTATTCATAGACTTTACCAGAATTGTATAACAGATGCTTTAAAATTTATTTGAAGTGGATTTATACTCATGCCTGTGTAGATGTAGGTCTTATTCTCATAGGTAGCATCAGCAACAGAAGAAAGAAAATATATTACAAAACTACATTTTGAATTATTAAAATTTTGTATAATTTATCTAAATTATAATAACTTGTTCTAAACATTTTCACACCAAAATTCTTCCTTATAGATAACCATATTAAAAACTTTTATGCATCTAAGATTTTGTTTCTTAAAGCAATGTCATCTCAATGCCAATACACAAACAGGTAATGTTTGGACAAACAAGAACACACATATATTCTCCGAAAATGCAACTATTCAATGCATATTTTCTGAAGTGTTCTAAAATTAACAATATTTATCTCACACACCTTTTCAACATATAAATATTTATTTTTATAGATAATTGTTAATTTATTGATGATTATTATTTGCTTATTGGGCTGTTTCAAAATATTGGTATCATAAACAGCTGCAGAAATATCCTTTATACACATGGATGTGTATGTATATATATCTTTGTATTCTCATGCTAAAGTATCTGTAGGAAAAATTCTTGATGGTCATATTAGTGGAAAACTAAAATAAATGTAGATTCAATTAATTTCTATAGTTAATTAATCATGTTCCATGTATCAGTTTTTCAGACAAATGAAAAAGGCTTCGTGGAAACCATTTGCAGGTATGAATTAACCGTTTAACATGTCCTTCCCATACTTCAAATGCATAAATCTTACATACAAATGTGTATTGTTTGATAAAATGGTCATAAAATATCCATGGTAAAATAATATATATTTTTAAAGATGACAGAATAGCACTATTGTATTCCTTGATGAAGCAAATGTGCAAAATATAGATTCATTCAGGGGCCACCATTGGCAAGTGCTTGACTTCACTTGTTCTTAGGCAAAAGGCTGAGAAGTGATAATTGCCTTGTTTAAGTCCTAAATATTTTTCAATTCTTGTGGAGACAATCTGACCCAAATTGGAGCAGGAGGAAAATTATCCCCTTTGCAAAGTATTGCACGCATAGTCTTTTCCACATCTTTAAAAAATATATGAAGAAAGTTAATGTAGTTTAGGCCAGGTAACTCATTTAGGTATAAATCATCTTAAATGTTGAGAGATGTTTCAGTTTCAAAGTTTCAACGTTTATATGTGGGGCAGAGGGCAGCTATGTACATTTTACATATACTAGTAAAAGCAGAGATTTTTTAAAATGACAAATTAATAATTATCTTAGAAACTAAGCTGATTGGATTATGATAATTTTTTCAAAGTGAATGTTAAGTCGGGATAAAAGTATTCTGTTTTCTTGCCTTGTGGTTATCTTAAATTGAATACAACTTCTAAAGGTAAATGGAAGGATGTGAAACTTTAATGATATTTAAATTAAAATAATTTCATCAACACATTCAAATTGGAAAAGGAGAAATACAATTATGTCTGCTCAGAGATAACATGATCTTATATGTAAAATATCTTACAGATTCCATACAAAAACAAAATTATTTAATTGAGTAAATTAAATTACTATTTAGTAAATAAATTTAGCTAAGTCACGGGATACAAAATCAGTGTATAGAAATCAGTTGTGTTTCTATAAACTAACATGAACATTTCAAAAATAAAATTAAGAAAACAATTTCATTTACAGTAACATCAGAAATAATACAAATTTTTAGGAATAAATCTAAGAAAGAAAGAGACTTTTATGCCAAAAATTCCAAAATTTTTGTGAAAGTAATTAAAGACATCAATAAATGAAAGGCATTCCATATTCATGATTTGGAAAACTCAGTATTGTTAAGATGCCAATACTAACCAAAGTGATCTACATATGCAATGTAATCTCTACCAAACAATTTGTTTTTTCCTGAAACAGAAAAACGCTTCCTAAAATTCACCTGAAATCTCGAGGGTCGCCAAATACTTAAAACAACTGTGAAAAATAATGAAGTTCGAGGTTTCACATCTGATTTCAAAACTTATTGCAACTCTACAGCAATCAAAACAGAGTAGCGGGGTGGGCATAAAGGCAGCCAGGTAGACTGATGAAATAGAATAGAGATTCCAGAAATATACCCTCACATACATGGTCAAGTGATTTTAAACCTGGGTGCCAAGACCGTTCAATAGAGGAAAAGACAGTCTTTGTAACAAGTGGTGCCAAAAAACCTGAATAGCTACATGCAAACAGATAAAGTTGAACCCTTACTTACTCCACACTCAAGCTTAAATCAAAATTGATAAAAAGGTAAGAAAACATAGGTTAAAAGTTTAGGACATTGAATTTGACAATAATTTCTAGAACTTGAAACCAAAAGCACAGGCAACAAAGCAAGAAAATTAACAAATCGGATCACAAAAAAATTAAAATTTCTGTACATCGCAGGGCACCATCAACAGAATGAAAAGGCAAACCAAAGAATGAGAGAAAATGACACATCTGACAGTGGATTAATGTTGACAGTATGTAAGAACTTCAATTAAACAGCAGCAAAAATGAAAAACACAATTTTTAAAAAATGGATAAAAGACTTGAATAGATATTTGTCTAAAGAAGATAAACATTAACAAACAAATGAGAATATGCTCAATATCACTAATAATTAGCAAAATGCAAATTAAAACCACCCTGAGGTACGACCTCACACCCATTCAAATAACTATTCTAAACAAAGGTACTAACAAAAACACCAAAATAAATCAATCAAGCAAGCAAGCAAACAAACACACACACACACAAAAACAAACACAAAATAAGTGTTGGTGGGAAGTGGAGAAACTGGACACTTTGTTGGTGGGAATGTAAAATGGTGTAGTCACTATAGGAAAGGTAAAAGGAAGTTCCTCAAATAATTAAAAATAAAATTACCGTATGATCAGGCAATTTTACTTCGGAGTATATATCCAAAAGGGATAAAAATAAGGACTCAAAGAGATATTTGTAAACCCTTGTTCATAATGACATTATTCACAATCTAAGTGTGCATTAATAGGTAAATAGGTAAACAAAATTTGGTATATATGTACAATGGAATATTATTCAGTCTTAAAAAAAGAAAATTTGACTCACACTACAACATGCATGAACCTTAAGGACATTGTGCTAAGTGAAGCTATGAAGATATAAATACTTATGATTCCACTTATATGCAGTACCTTGAGTAGTTAAATTAATATAGTCAAAAAATCGAATATTGGTGGCAGGGGCTAGAGAGACAGAAGGATGGGAAGTTGTTGTTTACTAGGCACTCAGTTCTAATTTTTCAAGATGAAGGTTCTGTGGATGAATGGTAGTGATGGTAGCAAAACAATGTGAATGTACTTAATGCCACCAAACTACACATTTGAAGATAGTTAAGGTGACAAATTTTATGTTATATGCATTTTACCGCAATAAAAATTTTTAAATAGCAACATGATCATAAACTTTTAATTGATATTGAATTCCTGATATTCCAATGAAATTATATGTTTAGTATAAGTGAGAAAAATATTATATTTTGTAATACTAGCATTAATAAGAAAATAAAATGAAGAGATGAGCTTAATTTTAAA